CCCCATATTTGGTAGACATAATTCGAGAAAATGTTGGGCGAGTCCTTACATTGAACTCCATTGTTGCTGGAAATGCGTGGAAAGGCATGGACATGTTGATTTTCAACTCCTGGCATTGGTGGATCCACACTGGAAGATCTCAGGGGTATTATGCGTTTATGCAAAATATTTAATGCATATTATTAGGTGAAAGAGGATACAAAATTTCAACATAACCTTGTTACATTAAAAGTTAACATGGGAGGGTCCATTTGATTGTATTGTATAACCTCATTCTCTCTCTGCCCCTTTTTGTTTTTGGGTCTGACCTAACGGTTGTTGGTGATTTTCATATTCAGATGGGATTATATCAGAGATGGACCCAATCTGGTTAAGAACATGGACCGTTTGGAGGCATACAATAAAGGATTAAGCACTTGGGCTAAATGGGTTGATCAGAATGTTGATACCACCAAAACTAAAGTCTTCTTTCAAGGCATCTCTCCAACTCATTATCAGTAAGTAACCCCTTCGCTCATTTTCAATCAAATTCGTTTTGTAGTTTGAAAAAATGAAAATCATTACTATGTTAATGTATACAAGGAAAGGGATTTAAATGTAGACCATAAATATAAACTGCATGAAATGAATACTCTTCGTGACTATCAGAAAGCAACAGAGGAGGAATTAGAAAAAATTGGATTAGAACATTAGAAGCATTTGATATGTGCAAGTGCAGTATTGAAGTGCTGAACAAGTATTTTGCGATATCTTTGTAACTATAACAGAGGGAAGGATTGGAACCAACCAAAGAGAAGCTGTAGTGGAGAAATTCAACCACTGTCTGGATCAACATATCCAGCAGGTCTACCTCCAGCAACTAGCGTATTGAACAGTGTATTAAAGAAGATGAATACTCCAGTTTATCTGCTTGATATCACACTGCTTTCACAATTAAGGAAAGATGCTCACCCTTCTGCTTATAGTGGGGATCATGCAGGCAATGACTGCAGCCACTGGTGCTTACCAGGATTACCTGACACTTGGAACCAGCTCCTATATGCAGCTCTCACCTCATGAAGGTGAAACTCCACACAAATTATTGATCCTTTTCTTCATCCCTTGGTTATATATTCAGCTAGTGTAAGAGATTTACTTGATTGTTTGGGGGATAGATACTGTCAGAGGGGTAAAAATCAATTGTAAAACAAAAGTATAGGATTCTTGAAGAATAATTTACTAAACAAATAAGTCAGGGATCAAAGTGTTGCATACCTAGATAAGTATTTTCTTTACAAGGGTGTAATATAATTTTATTGAATCACAGAATGATGTTCAACTCTGTCAATGATTGATACATACTTGTGGAAGCTACAAGTTTGTAACTAGAAACTATTTCCTTCCTTCCAAGACAGAGGGCCTTTTTGCATTTACCTTTGGTCTTTTTCTTTACACAGAATCTAGTGGTTTTTTTGTGCTTTTCTGATACTTAATATTAACAACCTATTATCTCAGCAGTGACTGGGCATTTTAACAACCGATTATCTCAGCAGTTGAGTTCTGAGAAAAGTTATGGCAATCAATATGCAAAAGGACTTCTTATGGCATCATTATTGCTATTTCTGTTTCAACAAAAAGTGAGTTTAACAATAATCGGGAAGAGTAAGTAATCATAATTTCTCTCTGCGATAGAGACAGCATAATTAGGACATGAAATCCTGATTGTTAAATTCATGCCATGATATCTTTACTCATGAGCTAACAAATAAGTATCTACTCGCTGTAGTTTATATAAATGTTAAGAACATATTTAATAATATTTAAGTTTTTATTGATTAATTAATGTTTCTAATTACATAAATTAAAATAATTATTATATTTATATGTTGAATTACTTCATTATAATTAATTATTAAAATTTAATTCATTATAATTAGTAATTAAAATTTAATTTATAAATATTGATGATTTAAGCTGTAATATTATTATATATTTGTAATCTTAAAAAGAATATATAATATAAAATTATTATTTTTAAATTAATTTTATTTTAAATTTTAATTTTAAAAAAAGGGCGTCAAACCATTCTATCTTGTCAAATTGACTAATTAATGACAAAATCAGAAAATCATAACTAAACTAATTATAAAGTTAAATATTTCAATCCAATCTATCAGTTAACAAGTCAATTCAAGAATCCTAATCCACTTTATCATCCTAATTGAATATGAATTTAATTTATGTAAGTTTTTATTTTATTTTATAAATACTTACAAATAACTTTATCAAAACAAAATTCCCTTTAAGATTTATTATTTCCGCGCTATGTAAGATTGCTAGATAAAGTTAAATGCTAAATGCAAGTCAAACAAGAAATACCCTGTCTTACATGTAAAATATGTAACAAAACTAGATTTTTTATAAAAAAAATAATATATATTTCGAATTTCAATTATCCAAATGAAGAAAAAAAAAATAGTGGTTTAAGAATAAATGTATTCTTTAAGTTCTTGTAACTAAATCCAAACATGTAATTCGAGTTTATTGATGAAAAAAAGTTAACTAAGCAATTATTTAACTCATTTGTCCTGGCCAAGCTTAGTGAGTGAAAGGACAAAATAAAATGTGTAAAATTCATAATTGCATTATTAGAATTTTGTATATATGTTATAATACTTTCTTTAGTGGAATTATAAAATTTACAAGAAAATTTATAAAATCATTTTATTTCTCATCAATTTGTATAACAAATTTCATATTGCATAACATAAACTTAAAAATCTAACTAATCAATTGAAAGTGTTATAGGATAGGAGTTATAGGTGATCTTAACTTATTTTAAGTCTTAAATCTTAAATTATCCTTCCTAAATTAAAGAAAAAAAATATCTTTTTTTCATGTTAGAATTTATTCTCAAGTGAAATTAAAATTTGAAATTAAAAATGCATCAATCAACATATACATTTATTATATTAGCACTCACAATCTAAAATATCTTATATTAATAATGGATCCAAAAATATCATAATAAAAGGACTAAAGTTAAATATTGAAACATTTAAAAGATATCTAGAAAGTTTTAACTCAATTAACTTATTTGTTATTTATTATGAATATTATAATATTAATGGAACAAAAATTTAATGATGCACCAACTTTTTCAGTAACAAGTTACAATCAAATCATTTAAATTGTTAAGTTCTTATATAAAAGAAATTATGTGTATAAGTTATAATTTTTTTTATCTAATAAGTGTTTAATTTAATAATAATTTGTATGAGAGTTGACATATTTTTTTTTCTTTTTTTTAAATAAAATATATATAAATTTTTACATTCATTTAATGTTATTTTTTTATTCCTTTTCTTATTAAAAAATACAGAATTTAATTTTTTATAATTATTTTATTTTTATATTATAAATCAAATGAATATAAAAATGTGTGTGCCATTTTCCTTCTTTTCAAAATATGGCCTGTAACCATAGATTTCAGTGGCAATTGATAGGACAGGACTTCACCAAAAAAAAAAACATTTACCAGTCTTGAGGGCCCAAAGGAAAAAGGTTCACAGTCTTCAATCTCTCATTGTACCAAAATATAAACTGGAACTGAGTGGTATACAGCATCTCAAACTAAACTCAAGCACCATATTCATTTTGTTTGTACTAGAGATTTTATCCTCATAAATATTGTCATCTGTTCATATTTATAGTCATTATTGTGAAGAATTGTTGGTGTTTTGAAAATTCAATGATTTCTTTACAATAATAGACATTATTAATATTTTGACACCTGTGTAATCAGAAAACATTGAGACACAAATTTCTCACCTCAATAAGACCATCTATAGAGAGAGAAATAAAATGTTTCTTGAAAATTATACAAATAATTTAAAATAGAGAGGAAATTTACAAGTTTCATAGGATAAGCTATTTATTGAATATAAAAGAGGTTTGTCTGTGGATAATGATGTAATACCTCATGGGTCATGTTGATCCGTTCATTATTCATCATAAAAAAATGTATGAAACGTGTCAGATTTTAAGTTTCTTAGTTTCTCACAGAATTTGTAATCCATATGAACTAAAATATGGGTTCATTCTATCGGTACCATTCTACAACTGCATTAAATACTTTTAATATGTCACTTTTTATGTAACATCATTTCTATGTTGGATATAAATAAATCTTTTTTATCTATTATTTTATAATACACTTCTTTTTATTTATTTCTAGTAAATGAAAAATTAATCATCTTTAATTTTTTTTTATTGTAATTGTTATTCTTGTACCAAATATTAGCTTTCCTATTATTGAAATTTAAAATTAAAAAATTTATAAAGAATTTTGGTAATTTTCTTTTCATTTTTTAAAAATTCCGATTAGCTGATCCACAAATATACTTCGTTTTATCATTAAAGCGCTTAATATGACTACTGTTTATCTTTCATATACTAATTTGACTACTTAATCAATAAAATCATATTGTTCTCATAAAATTAAAAAAAGTTGGTGCTAATTAATATACTATACACGGCTCCAATTTTTTTATTAAATATTTATGTACTACTGTCTTCCTTTATGTTTTAAAGAAAATTGCATTAACTGTTGTCTTACAAAACCAACGACACGTTAAATATTCCTGTTTCTAGACTACCCATAATCCAAACTCATTAAGAGTATTCCTTTCAATTCTTGTAAATGAATAATTAATTCGAAAAATAAAAACATATTAGGAAGTAACATATAAAATATTAATTATATTCTTTAATACAAGTTTTAAGCTATTAAATGTCATATAAAATCAGATGGACCAATTACTGTTTTTATAAACTATTGGGTTCAATTACATGACTGCATTGAATTAATATAGAAGGTTTTATTGGCCATAAAAATAGTCTGAATTAACTCAATCAACGGATATGAATGAATCATGCAAACAAAAACAATTTACTAGTATTAGAGTCGGGAAGAAATATAAAAGACACTAGTTTTAAGGAAGTGGTAACAGCAACGTGAGTGAGAGGAAACAATTGGTGTTACTGATTGAGAGGTTGCATGGTTTCCCTATCCAAGTCGTTCATTAATGAATGGGTGAATTATGATTGCGTCTGGGTAAAGTGATGGCCATTCTATTGGTATTCACAAGCAAAATGTCACTATCTATACATCAAAATCGGTGCTACTATTTTCTGAAGCTGAGTTTGCTCCATCTCTAGTAGGTTGCAGACCTGCAAAGAAATTTCTGTTGCTGGCTATGGCATTGAAGTTGGCATGACCTCGCTTTATCTCTCAATTCTTGGAATGCTCTCATTGTCTCCACATCAAACCCCCCAGCAAACTGCCAAACATCAACAGCTCATTATCATTTCAGATGGCCCATTATGCTCTATCTGTATTAGAACAGGCACCTGTTTTGTATTATCGTTGAAACATATCTGTAGGATTTACCTGATGTACTCGAAAAGCAAATCTAACTCCTTGGACAATGAGCTCCTCTTCTTCAGGACCACCACCAACTGTCTCAAGCTCAGCAGAGACTCTCTTCATGTACTTCATGGCTAGTTTCACAGATGCCAGCTTGATCTGTCATGACATAAAGTTGAAGTTGCAAAAGAAAAAAAATTGAATAAGGTAACCAACACTTGAGAATTTAGCTTGTCATTCTTCACTGTATAACACTAGAAATTGTAAATAGCAACCTAAGTACGAAGCTATCCATATCTAATTATGTTTGTTTATTCGCATGTATGAAGGATGTGGCCTTTTTGTTTACTAATGTAATTTAAAACGTATTAAATGTGTACTATCCATGATCCATCTAACTGCCATTTGAATGCGACAAAGATATTAATGGTCAGGAATAAGGAATCTCGTTTTCTTTATTCAAGTTTAAACGACTGAGCAGACAAACAGATGGATTTTAGAGATCTGTGATTTCACATGTGCTCATGCAGAAATTTGCAGAGACAAACAAGTAAGAATCCAACCTTTGCCTTGTCGTTTTGCTACCAGCGCTGCATCTTGGTGTTACATTAGGCATCACATACAGTAGTTAACTTTATCAACGAAATCTTTTATTCCGACACGATGAAATTTAACGAATTGATATTTATAAATAGGCTTACTTAAAGAGAAGTAACGAACGCTATTAAACAAATAGGACCGAGATAATTCTTTTAGAAATCTACAAAATTAATCATTTGGAGTAGTCTAAATCAATCGAAACAACTGTTGGTCACTGATACGTCGAAGATAGGCTGAGGTTATCCACACTGGATGTAGTTAAAATTAAGTATATGTCATTTCCCAATTGATCATAAAAATTACCTGGCTCACAAAACCATTGTCAAGCATCCACTGTACAGGTATGTGGAAGACTTTGTATCTATTTGTAGCTGACTCTCCCATTCTCGAGATATTGAAAACTCCATGCTCTAATCTGCCATAACCCAATTTTTAACCCAACATTAGAGTGTTATTTAAGGTTGTGTGCAAAAGAACGTTCAATTAACATTTTACAGATCATGTTGTTATCATATTCCCATGTGGGTCAAGGATACGCATACTTTTCAAAGAGAGCCTGCATCTTTTTGAGAGCTGGACCACATGGCTGCCGAGGATCATCACGAAATGATGAAGCCTCAGATTCTATCTTCTTCAGATCACAATACCCAAACGCGGCCTCGCGCAGCGCATCGGCCTTCTTCTCCGGCCAATCGAAGTGCTTTAACACTGCTCGTTCATCCACCTAAAATAAAAACCAACCATAGCAAATGAGTCTTCTTCTTTTCTATCTTAATCTAAATGCTATTTGCACATGAAGTTCTTATGCCAATTTGCACAATATATTGTTGTAAAAATTCTGTTTAGAAATAATATCATCCAACAATACATACCAAATAGGAAAGCTCGTCATCTAGCCATTTAACAAAGAGCACAACGTCTTCAATGTCTGTAAATGCAGCACCCTCCACTTCTTTGATTAAGCATCTAATAAAGTCTCCTTGCGTCTCGACATCTGTTTTAATCTGAAAAAAAAAACAAGGAAATATTGCCGAGGTGATCACTCAAGAAGCCATCTTTATTAATGCTAAACTAAATTAAATTAGGCTCTAACCAAATAACTAAACGCAATAACTCTAGGACATAGTTAATGGAGGATCTTCTTTTCCCTTTTGTAGTTCGACAATTAAAAAAGTGATTCCATAAAGTGCCTATCTACTTTGCGGCATTGTCAAAGTCGTGGGCACCCAAATTCGAATTTAATTGCTGTCTTACGTTAAAAATAAATAAATCAATTTCAAATTAAAGCATGGGAGTCAGCATTTTTGCATTTGACAGTGACACCAGTGGCACATTCGTAATTTCTGCAAAAAAAACATGTAACACACTTACCGCGAGCAGGTGAGACGAACGATTCTCGATTTCACCGATCATGTCACGTGGATTGGCCGCAGGAGGCAGTTCTACCACGCCGGAGAGTGATTCTCGCCGGGACTGCGATTCCCTCCTCATTAAGGAATGATAGAACTCCACCACTTCCGGCACCTTCCTCACCTTTGCCGTAACCTGCCTACTCCCCTTCGGCGGCGGAGGTGGAGGAGGCGGAGCAGCCTTCAACGCAGCCTTGAAAGGAGGAGGAGGCGGCGGGGGAGGTCGTGATATCACTTTCTCTGTTTCGACATTGCCGTTCTCCGACGCCGCAGAATCGGTGTACCGCGAGCGCATTGATGAAGAAGACAACGATGGTCTCGGTGGCGGTTTGGGAACGCGAGGCGCACGTGATCTTGTTAAAATGGACTCAGTAGAATCGGCGAGCTCCCCCGAGTCACGACGCGGCCTTTCACTTTCAGCCATTTTTGGTTTAAAATCTTGAACAGTTGCTTCAAACTGCTTGTGGTTCACACTTCTATGATCCGACGTCGTTTTCTTCAAACTCTTGATCAAAGTGGACCTCGCTGGCACCTCCAAAGGCGCTTGAAGCCTCACCGAAGAATGCTCGTCGTTTTCCATCGAAGAATGCACTTCATTTACCAATGCCTTGCAGACATGATCCGACGCCGTTTTCTTCAGCTCTGCAATCTCATCCTCCAACGCTTTAGTTTTTTTCAGGTTCTCTATTTTCTCTTCTTCCATTCGGAGCTTGAGTTCTTGGAGCTCGTTCCTGAGCCTCCGGTTGTCTGCCTCCACTTGTTCCATTTTGTTGTTGTTACTTTCTATTTGTGCGTCCCTGGCGGAAATCTGGTTTTCGAGAAGGGGAACGATGGCAACGGTTTCTTTGAGGAGCTTGTGTTCGAGAAGCTCTGTTTTGAGGCGAGACTCTCTCTCGCGGAGGTCCTCGACGAGGCGGAGGAGGTCGAGGACGTCGGAGGGGCGGGGCTGAACCTGAGCGGAGGAGCGTGAGAAGTAAGTGGCGAAGGAGCGCGTGAGGGAGGATTTAGTGGCGGAGGAGTGGGGAGGAGTGGGGGGCGCAGGGGACTTGGGGAAAGCCATTGAGAGCTTGACCTTGCCAGCTACCATTGAGGTGGAAAAGGAACAGGAATAAGAATGGGAATAGGTAGGATTTGATTTTGGATTAGGGTTGTCTGGTTTGCAATGTCATTGGAAGTGAAAGCTAAAACTAAGAAAGATGTCGCTGTCCGAATGTCTGTCTGGGAGTGGGAGGGAGACAGAGAAAGAAACAAGTGAAGGTCCGGGTAGAGAAGGAAGAGATTCCTGCAAAAGAGGCAAAATTGTAATAAAGTGGGTCTCCATTTACGATCATCAACGGACTTCCCTTCTACTGGGGCCTCTTCTTCACTTTGCCTTAACTGCTTCACACATCAAAATAACCTTTATTTACTCTCTTTTTTCTTCTCACTAATCTTACTATTTCTTAATACCTTACTTTCCTTCTCCCAAATACATGCTATTATGAATTAAGACACGCCATTATAATTTATATACATAATAATCAGATATGCACTCACTATTCAGTAAACTTCAATCAGAACGGTGATCCATCTTATCAGTCACAAATTTCGAGTCTCGATGATTAACTGAGTCGGACAATTATCTAAGATACTGAATGGTGGTTTATCATATCCAAGAGTTTGAATATCATCAAAGTAAATTAATTAATGTTTCGGCGATATTTAGGTCAGTTTTAAGTTATACATTAATTACAGTATTTATTATTATTTTTTTTTAACTTTATTTAATTTTCACATTATAGTATCTTTTACGTGTATTATTTGAAGAGTTTAGATGTAAAGGAATTTTTTTTACTGAACAAAATTTTGATTTGAAATGACACGTCGATGACCCAATAATTCACCATGACCCTACACCTCAAACAAACTAGTTTCAGAAGAAAAGGAAACGTAAATTATTTTTGTATGAATCAAAACTAACTTATATATGAATTACAAATCAAATTTTAAAGAAATTAATAAAATTAATTTTTATAACTTGATTTGTGCATAGTTTAATTTTAAACCATACAATTTTTTTTGGTTATTTTTCCTCTAAAAGGGCTCATACTATTTTTCCAAAAATAATATAATGGATGTTTATTTTTGTGATGGATTATTTTATTGTAGAAAACGTTAGTATCATATTCTTAATGAATTGAAATTTATTTAAAATAGACAATAACTTTTTTTATATCTTGTTTGTTTATTGACTTTTTCTAACTTATAATAGAAAATTTATTATTTTCATTAAACATGGAAGGATTTTAGAAAATAATTAACAGCAATAATGATCTTTTATAAATGAAGTTTAAATATTTTATTATTAAAATGTAAGTTTTATAAATTGAAAAATCAATTAGTTGAGATTTATTTTACAAAGACAAACTATCTTTCAGAAACTATTATTTTTATCTTTCTCTACATTTTTTCTAAAATTCTAATCAATCTACTCATTTATTTTTTACATCAAAGTTTATCATAAAATTTTTAACATAAAATACAATATTTATGTTGGATCAAAATTTTCATTATTAACTTCATCTTTTATTTTTTCTAAAATTCTAATCAATCTACTCATTTTTTTTACATCAAAGTTTATCATAAAATTTTTAACATAAAATACAATATTTATGTTGGATCAAAATTTTCATTATTAAATTCATCTTTTATTTTTTATAAAGTTATTTTTAGAAGTTTTGCATGTATACGCTATAAAGTGGTAACATGTGACTCAAAAGAGTTTAAAATTGTAAAGTCCATAATTTATTTATTTTAATAAATAGTATCAATTTTTCTTTGTTAGTAGTAATAATTTTTAAAGGTAGAAAATATAATTAATAAGAAAATTATGATAAAAAAATTAAAAATTTAGAATAAAGGATTATAGTAATTTTAGAATAAGGAATTCAAAACTTTGAAAATTTTTAGAAGGTTATATATATATATATATATATATATATATATATATATATATATATATATATAATTAAAGGGACAAAACCCCTTTCAGAAGTGGAACGAGGAGAAAAAAACTTTCAGTGGTGATGGAAGTCAAAATATATTTTTTAATAAAATATTATTTTAATAAAATATAAAAAAATTTAAATAGTGTCAAATCTTAGCTTATAAATAGCAAGCAAGGGAGAAGGCTGAAATTGCACGAAAAATTGAGAAATTATGAGAGAAGAAAGAGTTGGAAGAAATTCTAGTTGCAAAGGTGAAATTTTGAAAGTTTTTGGGAACAATTTATAAGCAGGAGATTAAGTTTGGAATAGAGGTAAGGGGAGCTAATTTTCCTAGAATTTTATGTTAATTATCTAATTACTATTCATGTATTGAATTATTTTGTATGTTTATGTGTTAGTGTATCTTTTTCTATTGCATGTTTCTGGAAGGATAAGAAGATATCTAACCGGCTATGCTATGCCAGATTCAACTTCTTAGTTCCCTAGAAGATTTATTGTTTTTCTTTTTCTATTGCATTTTTCTGAAAGGATAAGAAGATGTTTAACCGGCTATGCCAGATTCAATTTCTTAGTTTCCCATGAAGGTTATTTTTTTATGGTAAGATAGAGGAATCTTAAAAACCAGAGTTGGTACATCCCTGATCATAGAGCAGTCTTGGATTGATATAATAAGTTGTGACTAATCATATGTACTTGCGTTTTGATGAGTTTGATTCGACAAACATTTGATTCTTCTCCAGTGACCACTTATAATAATATTTTATTATTGTTAATTTGTTTTGTGATATATTCATTTTGTATGATTTCTATGATGAATGTATTTTATGATGTTGGATATGAATTTATGCATTTGAAAATAGTATGAGTCTCGGGGACTATAATAGTAATAAGAGACTCATTCCAAATAAAAGAAGCTAGATTTAAAATTTTAGAAGTTTTATGTAGTAGTTGAAGATGGTTGTAGAAATGTTGTGATCACCACACTTGATCTATGTTATTTGGTGATTGTTGAAATTTATATGATATGGTGAATAACGATGTCGTGGTATGATTTGAGTGAAAATTCGATTTTTGAGAATAAAAAGAATTGAGGTCCTTTTACTTATTAATCAAGTCAAGACTTATTTTTAAACCTTTAAGACTCTTATGAGCTTGGTTTGCTAAGACGAGTATATCATTTATTGAGTGAAACTTAATTTATAAAAATTCAACGAGCTTATGATGGTTAGGTCACTAGACAAATATAGTATCTATGAATTTTCTTATTGAGTAAAATTTAAGATTTTAAAATTCAAAAAACTCAAAAAGATTGGTTTTCAAGTGATAAATATACTTTTAGGAATGTTTCATTGACTGAATAAGGACGTTATTTGAACAAACCTTTGTTTAAAAAATTCTCAACAATATTATTAATATATTATTAACTTAAATGATCAAATTATATGACATTTTTAAAAATAGATTTCTAATTAAGACAAATAAAAATGTGAGATTTCATATAAAAAAGAATCCAATGATACAATGAAACCTTATTAATTAATTAAAATATAAATATAAGTTGTTTGTTTTTTAAATGTAACAGTCCTAAAAAAATTGAATCCAATAAAAGTACATTTTTGACTTGAGATAAAAAGAAGATAATGTTTTTTTAAGAAATGATCAACGAAAAGTAATAATTGTTTGTTTTTAGAGTGGATAATTGGGGTAATACAATATTAATAGAATATGAATTTAATCTATACCTATGACATATTTTAACATCAATGATAATTTTATAGAATTTTTTGATGTTTAATTTTTTAATTTTTACTCGACATACGAGACTTAGATTCATATTTAAATTTTTTAATAATTTTTGTTGTGTTATTTTTTTTCACTAGGAAAAGTTTGTCCCAAGTGCAATAAATAAATATAATAATTTTTTAAATATTGATGTGCTACTTGGATTTCTAAATATATTTATTCGAATTAATGCGAAGTTTGAGTTAGCGTGCTGTAAAGGAAACCGGGGAGTTTTAGTTTTCAAGAGACCCAAAAGTGGGCGATTTTGTTGTGGGCATGAAGACTTTTTCTTTGTTAGATTTAAGGGTTCGAAAGTTGAAGTGTAATTAAAAGTGAAAATTGCTTTGTTAGTTCATTTAGAATTGGGCGGAAAACTAATTTGAGTTGGGATGGAAGAGATTTTGTGATACCGCATGGATTGCATGACACAAAAGATAATCTGGAAAAAGGCTTTACACTGTTTAAAAAGGAAAGGACACGGAATAAATATCATATATGTTAGGGGTACAAATATTTATTTTGTAAATATATTTGAAAATAAAAAGTAAGGATTAAATAAAGGAGAGTTTATAATTATATATTGTAATATTGATTTTGTGCATTGCATGATTATTGGCGGGTTAAAATAAAAGAAAAAGAAATTGAAGATGGAATAGGGAATAAATTATAGAAAATTTTACGAATCGATTTCTGATTTCATATGGTATATTAAAATTCAAATATATAACCTTTAAGATCACATATACAGAGAGTATGTATTATTAATGTCTACATAAGTTAAGATCAATTGATATTAATTATTTGAAATCTGTCTAAATTTGATTTGAGTAGCACGGGAGAAGAAAAAAAAATAAGTAAACAGATTTAATGCATAATGTTGAATTAGTTTTTAGGGTTAAATATGATTTTAGTCTCTAAACTATCAAGCAAATTTATTTTTAGTCCCTCTTTCAAAGTAAGATACATTTTAGTCCTCCTCCTTCAAAAAAACCTTAATTTACTTTGAAAGAGGGACTAAAAATAAATTCGCTTGATAGTTTAGGGATTAAAAACATATTTAACTCTAGTTTTTATATTAGGTAATAACAAATTGCAAAGAAGATAAAATTCTACTAATTTGATGCAATAGGTACGAATCAAGTCTACTAAATTGAACAGGGCATAGGCCTTGTATTTAGAGAAGTTCAATACTTGAACGGACATTACTCCCTCCATCCCCAACTATTTCTTTCTGTATCTCCATTTTTTTTAAATCTCAAAACTACCTTTTGTAAAAGAAATAATTTAAAGTATATATTTTTTTAATTTTTTTCTCTACAATTTAAAAAACTCTACCCTTCATTTTGTGTTTCAATAGATTTTAAAATTTATTAAAAGACTTTTTTTTAAGAACTTCAAAAAATTTTGAGATTTATTGAAATATTTTTTTTAATAAATTTCAAAATTTATTAAAAGTTTAAACGGATTTTAAAATTAGTTAAAATCTTCAACAAAATTCGAGACTTTTCGAAATTTGTTAAATTCAGCAAATTAGAATATAGGTTTCATGCATGTAACCTTATTTATTGAGCTATTTTCGAAAATTGGAAATGCAGAAAGAAACATTTGGAGGTGCATAGAGAAA